CTGTCTCCTTCAACCTCTTTCCCATCAACCACTTTGTCTGCTCCTCCACAATTTATATATAAGGAAGCGTCTGCAAAAAATGATAATCAGTACAGAAAATCTGTCCTGTGCTAAATTCTACAGACAATTTTCAGAAGAGTTTCTAACATTGCATATGTCATTCCAAAAGCAATGTCATTCCAAACCTAAGGTTAAACCAATAAATAATTTAAATGAACGACTCAGGAATGTAAATATGAGTTTCTCAATTGAACTTACAATTTGGTTTTCCCCGACATTTTTTTATCAAAGCACGTATAGAATTCCTAGAAATAGCAAACAAAATTGGTAAGAAATAACTCATGATCATTTGTTCTAAATTAATTACACCATATGGAAGATAATCATACCTGTTTGGTGGACTGCTTAAGTAGGAACAACACGCAAGCAGTGTTGGGAATTTCGACCGGTGATGTTCTGATACTTGCTCATAGGAGGGCCAAGCACACTGACACAATATTTAGATTTCATAGACAATAATATTCTTGCAAGTGAAAAAAAAGGAAGAAGAAAATGAAGTTGCCGTTATTACATGTTCAGCTTTCCTTCTCCTTTCTTCGGACCATCATCAAAATTATTATTATATGACAAGTCCCTGCAACATTATTGTTTACATATCAAGATTTTATTGAGGAAATCTACAAAAGGGAAAACAACCCATCTGAGCAAAGAGCACAAAGCCATAACATACGCCTTGTCTTCAATGGTATGAGGAACCCAGGAAGGTACTGTGCCATTAAGCATATTTCCTGTAAGAAACCTAAACAAAACAAACCACTATGAAAACCATCCCATGTACTTTTTAACAGAGTGGCAGAACGAGCTTATTATAAGACATCGAGTTCAAGGAATCTCTTTTGCATACATCTTACTTAATTTCAGCTTTTTCATGGAATTTGGTATTCCACCAGTTAAGCTGTTAAAGCTCAAGTCTCTGCAGGATCAATAAAATGAAAGCAAACGTTAGCTTTTTCATATTTGATATATAGTTGTGCTATGGTCAATTATTGCATAGTTGATTCTGTAAACACATAATCAAAATCATCAACACTTCCTAACACATAGTCAAAATCATCAATTCTAAGTGTATTATTTAATTTGAATTTATGTTATTGCTGACTAATTTTTTACTTAAAACTTTTTTTTAAAACAAACAAAAAAATAAAAAAACAACAAAAACTCAAAAAATATATTCTTAATATATATACATTGTTTTTAACATTTTTAATGTTGTCTCAAAATATTCTTAATCTTTGTTTGAAACAAGAATATGTTTGATTTTTAAGGCGTTATTCTTTAAATAATTGATTTTTTTTAGAGTGATATTACTTGTTTTTTTTTAAATATTTAAATCAAAAAATCAAAAAAAAGAAGAAGAAGAAGAAGAAAAAAAAAGAAAAAGAAATTGAGGAACAATTGAGACCTAACAATATTCTATTTATAAATAAGAGTCACTCAACACCCAATTGGGGCAATTTTGAAAAACAATAAATTAAGAAACCACAAAAATTAATCCTAATCCGCTCCCCTCCTCCAGTT